CGGGTGGACAACCAGGCAGTCATGTTTATCTTGCGCAAGGGGGGATCCCGTCAGGCGGATCTTACGTCGACATGCCAAGCGATCATCCAGTTCTGCCTCGGCAACACAACACGCCTCGCGATCGAATGGATTCCGAGGGAGCTCAACGCCCATGCGGATGACCTATCGAAGATGCAAGATTTTGACGACTACTCCCTACATGCACCTTGGTTTCGCCTCTTGGAACGACGCTGGGGGCCTCACACAATTGATCTCTTTGCTAACGTTCGGAACAATCACGTTCAGCGCTTCTGCTCCAAGATACCGCACCCCGATGCATTTGCCGTCGACGCATTTTCCATCTCGTGGAAAGGCGAGCGATGCTTTGCCTTCCCGCCTCCACACTTAATTCCCGCTACACTCCGCCACGCGGAACTGACGCAGACAGAACTCACGCTTGTCGTTCCCCAGTGGACCGGAGCGTCATGGTGGCCGAGTCGTGGGCTCCATCAGTAGTCAAGCACCTTTCCCTTGCCCAAGGCAGTCAATGCCTTCGGGCAGGTTCACACACAGCTGCATTCTCTCGTCTCGGATTGCCTCATAGCCCAATCATTGCTTTGCGTGTAAACTATGCAGTCTAATAACAATTTCTCAATGTGTCATTTCAGGACTTTTGGCCAAACTAAAGCAACAATTGCTGCACGTAATTAGCCACGTTCGCGCACCATCTACAATCGAGACGTACCAACCTTATTGGCAGAGATTTCGCACCTTCTGTACCCAAGTTAAGCTCGAGTTCCTCCCGGCAACCGACCTGACGCTAGCGCTGTATCTCATCCATGCGCTCAACAACAAAGCAACCCTCTCCGCGATCAACCTCACGTGTTCGGCAGTAGCCTTTGCCCACCGCATGACAGGCGAAACCTCCCCTACCGCCGGCCCACTCACCCTGCAAGTGCGGGAGTTCGCCAAGAGACATGGTCCCCACCCTACAAGAACCAAAGAGCCCATATCTCTCCATCAAGTGCACGACATGGCTCGTCCCTTCCTCGAATCATCAATTCCTGCGGAATACCAGAAAGGATTCATTCCTCTTCTCATGTTTTCGGCATTCTTGCGCTACTCCGACCTCGTCTCGCTCCAATGGAATGACGTACAATTCGAGGAGAAGGCAATGTGGCTGCTCATTCCGCACTCCAAGACGGACCAGGAGGGGAGGGGAGTCTGGATCCCCGTGGCGGCAATTCCAGGCCCATACTGCCCGGTGAGGTGCACGCGCGCATTCATACACATCGCAGGCCTCACAAAGGTGCCCCATGGACCGCTGATAAGGGTTTTCTCAAAGAACTCACAAGCCACACCGAACGACAAATCGCCATCCTACGTTACGATCAGAAACTGGTGCCTCGCAGCCGGCAGGCAAGCTGGACTGGATGTCGCGCACATCGGAACCCACTCCTTCCGCAAAGGCGCAGCCACTGCAGCGGCGAGCCTCGGAGTTCCTGACCGGCTCTTCAAACGCATGGGCCGATGGCGCAGCGACAGCGCGAAGGAGATGTACGTTACAATCGCGCAGGATCAGCTCATCTCCCTCTCTACGCAATTGCAGAATCCTTCGACGGCTCCCTCGCACGCTGCGCATCAGCTATCCATCGAACGCCACCGACAGCCCCGACTGCACTTGCCTCAGAAGACCCGCTGCCTTTGCCAGTCAGCCTAAGTACACTTTCACAATATGATAATTTTTGAAAGTGTAATGAAATGTAACACTTTCTAAAATTTTGTATTGTGAAAAGGGGTACGTGGCCAACACAGCAAAGGTAGCGCCGAAGCGCTACTCACCCTCTTTTGCCTACAAAAGAGGGACGTGGGGACATTCGTCCCCACCCACGTTTTCATTTTCAAATTGTAGTTCTAATTTCCCACCCGCCCACCCATTTGTGTATGCTGTTATGTGGACATATATAAGACGAGAACGATGTACTACAACCCATATGAAATGATAACGCTGCCTTTGCCAGTCAGCCTAAGTACACTTTCACAATATGAATTTTTTCGAAAGTGTGTAACACTTTCTAAAAATGTGTATTGTGAAAGCGCAGCTGCCTGTATCGAAGCAAAGCAACGGCGAATTACAATTCGCCGAGTACATAACGAGAGTTGGAGGCCATTCGGCCTCCACCCACGACTTCATTTCAGAACTTTGCAGTTTCACTCCAATTCTCGTCCAACCACCTCGACCGTTTCCTTGTCGCTAGAAACTACCTTCTAAGCTAATACTCACTTGCACGTTCAACCCAGGCGCTTGATTTTCCATGAAGGGCAAACTATCACGAGTGCGACTGTAACTAGCGGGCGCTCAACTGAGATCGAAGTGCGTCGGACAAAACACCAACAGGCGCGCCAGAGACGAAATCGCCAGTGGCGCGCGCGCTAGGGACAAAATTGCCAATGGTGCCAGTGGCGCACGATTGGGACGAAATCGCCACTGGCGCCAATGGCGCGCACCAGGGACGAAATCGACACTGGCGCCAGTGGCGCGCGCCAGGGACGAAATCGCCACTGGCGCAATTGCCGCGCGCCAGGGACGAAATCGCCACCTGCCCGCATGTGGCGAAATTACCACATGCGCCAGTGGCAAAATCGCCACCAGCGCTCGAGGGACGAAATGGCCGCTGGAGCGGCAGTTACGAAATTGCTACTGCAGCGCCTAAAGTCGTTCGACTGGGCGTCATTTGTTGCCTACGTGCTGCAAGTCTTTTAAGTTCAAGTTTTTCTTCTGTTATGATCTCTTCGATTATTTTCCATTAATCTCTATGCTCCTATTCTTACTTGGTGGCATAAAAATAGGCTCAACACCACGGGTGCGGAAAAACACTTTTAAAGACTCTACTGGTCGCGCGGGAGAACTACATTTACGACAGGATCAACTCAACGCGCACCCAAGGACGTCTCCCAATAAAAAGAAGGGACCGAGGGTCTTCGTGTGGCCTGAGAGCCGTCCCCCAGGGGAGGAAGGGGACCGAGGGTCCCTGTGTGGCCTGAGAGCCGTCCCCCAGGGGGGGAAGGAGACCGAGGGTCCCCGTGTGGCCTGAGAGCCGTCCCCCAAGGGGGGAAGAGGACCGAGGGTCCCCGTGTGGCCTGAGAGCCGTCCCCCGGGGGGGGAAGGGGACCGGGGGTCCCCGTGTGGCCTGAGAGCCGTTCCCCAGGGGGGAAGGGGACCGAGGGTCCCCGTGTGGCCTGAGAGCCGTCCCCCAGGGGGGGATGGGGACCGAGGGTCCCCGTGTGGCCTGAGAGCCGTCCCCCAGGGGGGCAAGGGGACCGAGGGCCCCGTGTGGCTTGAGAGCCGTCCCCCAGGGGGGGAAGGGGACCGAGGGTCCCCGTGTGGCCTGAGAGCCGTCCCCCAGGGGAGGGAAGGGGACCGAGGGTCCTAGCGTGGCCTGAGAGCCGTCCCCCAGGGGGGAAGAGACTCGAAGGTCCACACGTTGGCCTTACCGTAAAATGGGCAAAATTTTCGAACAATGTGCTCGCTTGTATGACTGGATCATCCTTGGTTTTTGATGTACCCCATTTACTTTTTAATGTGACCAATAAAGGCTGGTTGGAGCCCCACTGAAATCTCGGGAAGCAACTGTTCAAGTGCACCTCAAGTTGGTTTTAAATCTTGACTTGACTTCACACACTTTTAAACCACATTCCGTGTTCTTCCAAATAAGGGCAATGACAATGGGATCGGTTTTCGCCATCATTCTCATCCCACTTTGTTCGATAACACCCGACAAGGAAGCAAAAGCACACGTTGAAACGACTTGCATGCTGTCACCTGAATGGGCGTTTGGGAGTAAAAGGCGGCAATTGTGTGACCGTTCCTACCCAACCAACATGACGAATACCACACTCACCTGAGGACCACTTCAAACCCTTACATCCACCCACGTTGTAGTTATTCCGGCCGGAACATCAAACGACTGGAAGTGTAGGGTAAAGCAGAGCACATGGAAGCTAAATCCCAAGATAAAAGTTGTACCGTACATTGGGCGTGTAGAGTACGGGAACCACCAGTTTCAACCACTATCCTGGTGCACCAACAACCAGGGACATCCACATCAACAGCACGAGCAACCTTCGCGCACAGCACCTCGGACGCCATCGACATGGAGCCCACGACTCACCAACGCCGCCCCTCCCGGCATTTCGTCAATGTCATCAACCGCAACTACACTCACCACGTTTTCAATGCTCCAGCTGCACTCAGAAGACCCAATTGTAATGAAGCCAGTTGCCTTTGCAAGAACAGAAAGCAAGCTTTCTCAATATGATTTTTTTCGAAAGTGTGTAACACTTTCTAAAAATGTGTATTGTGAAAGCGCAGCTGCTTGTATCGAAGCAAAGCAACGGCGAATTACAATTCGCCGAGTACATAACGAGAGTTGGAGGCCATTCGGCCTCCACCCACGACTTCATTTCAGAACTTTGCAGTTTCACTCCCCACCCACCCGCCCTAGTTGTACCAATATTTGTATGATCCATAGTTGGACAAGAATGTTGTATTACTGCAATTGTAATGAAGCCAGTTGCCGTAATGAAGCCAGTTGCCTTTGCAAGAACAGAAAGCAAGCTTTCTCAATTGAAACGCAGTGTGGTCAATTCCTCCGCATAGGATTTTGATGCCTCAAGAAACAACGCAACAACTTTCTATATTACTAGTAAGACCTTAGGGTGATTGATTGGTCTTATAGTGTGCAATAATTATCATTGGTTTGTCCTACTGCATTCTGAGCTTGATTCCAGAGCTATTGCTCCTTAGTGCGTACGCGTACCGTACTATGCCGTTCCATTCTTTCAAGCACCTTCAGCTCTGAGCACTATGCAAGCTCTCTCACTCACTGCCCGCCCTTCACACACAATTATTTGCGCCACCGGTGTTGTCTGATTCGAATAGCGCGTCACACGGCACCGATACACGTGATTGCGGAAGCTACAGACAGAGGCTACTAATGCTACGCAAGCAAGGACCGGTCATGAACCCATCATTATTGGTTTCGACGTGGGTCCTCCTGCCAATTGTTCCTGTTCCCACAGGTGGGGGGCATGTGGGGCACCGAGTTTTATCAGAGCCTCTACAAACGAAGATGTCAGCCCCCATCCATCCGCTTCCCCCTCGGTCTCCCCTGGCCCCCCCTCTTCCCCCTGGCGCACGACCAACTACACTGATGGGAACTGCGGGGGAGGAAGGGGGGCGATTGGGGGGAGGGGATGGGGGAAGGGGGTGGAGGAAGAGCGGCAGATTTTGTCAGTATCTGGGAGAGGCGGCTGCTGTACTGTGTGCAGGTGAGTCCCCGTGTGAACGGCGTTGTTTAGCTCCACATGTGAAGCATCGCTTGGGCTCTGCACTCATCCGATCATTATTTTTTCTACCTCTGGTGTGAATCCCGTACTCCTGCCCCTCTTTTTTTCTCCCCTACTCCCACCCTCCCCGATTCCCCCTCCCTTGATTCCTCCTCCCCCATTTACTCCTCTCCACCTCTCCCTTCATCCGTTTTGTATCCTTCTCCCCTTTCCGTCCTCTCCTCTCTCCTCCCCCCCACCTCCCACCAAGTGCCGGGGGAGCAGCCTTGGGCGCGAGCTCTCAGGGACTTCACTACCCATGTTCACTAGTTTCTATCCTTTCGCCCTTTCGGTCCTCTCCTCTCCCCCCCCCCTCTCCCCCACTTCCCCAGGTGCCGGGGGAGCAGCCATGGGCGCGGGCTCTCAGGGACGGGGGGAGGGAGGGGAGGGGGAACTGGGGGAGAGGGGAGGGGGGAAGCGGAGCGGAGGAGGGCAGTGGGGCGGAGCAGAGGGGCAGAGAGGAGGGGGACGCTGAAGCTGTGGTAGGAGTCAACGTGGATGCCGCTTTTTGGCTGTCCCTGATTGACTTACCTTGCGTCTGTGCCTGTTGAGTCAACCGAGCATGTCTGCTGTACCCATGTCATATGTTCAATCTATGAGCCTTGATACAAAGCGCCTTAATAGGTGTGTTTTATGCCCCATGTTTGAATGCTGTTCATAGTGCTGTTTTCATTCAGTTTTCTGATGCTCTGTACTGCAATGTTCATGCCATTGAATGCACTCGTTTTCCAAACAGCACTAAACGAGTGCAGTAGCCAGTGCAGTTTGGTGTTCACTTGCTCTGTGCCCACTTCCCATCGATTCCCTGTTTCCCACCCACTATTGTGATTTTGAGACGTCTTCGCCCTCGAACCCCAAACACTGGCAGTGAAGTGAGTGGGGACCAAGGTGCAGCGAATGATGCTGGAGCTGCTGAGTCAGCTGGATGGCTTTAGCAGTGACGACAGAATCAAGGTGAGATGGTCAGTCAAGACAGAATCAAGGTGAGATGGTCAATCAAGACAGAACCAAGGTGAGTTGGTCAATCAAGACAGAATCAAGGTGAGATGGTCAGTCAAGACAGAATCAAGGTGAGATGGTCAGTCAAGACAGAATCAAGGTGAGATGGTCAGTCAAGACAGAATCAAGGTGAGATGGTCAGTCAAGACAGAATCAAGGTGAGATGGTCAGTCAAGACAGACTCAAGGTGATCTTGACGGTCAAGGCAAAATCAAGGTGAGATGGTCAGTCAAGACAGAATCAAGGTGAGATGGTCAGACAAGGCAGAATCAAGGTGAGATGGTCAGTCAAGACATAATCAAGGTGAGATGGTCAATCAAGACAGAATCAAAGTGAGATGGTCAATCAAGACAGAATCAAGGTGAGATGGTCAGTCAAGGCAGAATCAAGGTGAGATGGTCAGTCAAGACAAAATCAATGTGAGATGGTCAGTCAAGACAAAATCAAGGTGAGATGGTCAGTCAAGACAGAATCAAGGTGATATGGTCAATCAAGACATAATCAAGGTGATCTTGACGGTCAAGGCAGAATCAAGGTGAGATGGTCAGTCAAGACAGAATCAAGGTGAGATGGTCAGTCAAGACAGAATCAATGTGATCTTGATGGTCAAGGCAAGTTATGGTTCGATGAATATTATTGGAGCTGCTGATTCAGCTAGATGGTTTCAGCAGTGATGACAAAATCAAGGTGGGGGAGCCAGCTACACATTGTCAGAATCCCAACCACTAGACCATTGGGATAAAATGGGTTGTTTAAGTAGCGGGTCAGTGCGCCCATAACCCCCCAGGCCAACGTGCCTGTAACCCTTCCCTATGATCAATCGGGGATCACCAGTGGACCTCTTACACCCCCCCGCACTGGGATGCCCGAAGTGCATACACCGGGATTCGAACCCGAGACCTTCGCTCTGATACCATGTCAGAATCCCAACCACTAGACCATTGGGATAAAAGGGCTTGTTTAAGTAGCGGGTCAGTGCGCCCATAACCCCCCAGGCCAACGTGCCTGTAACCCTTCCCTAGGATCAATCGGGGATCACCAGTGGACTTCTGACACACATGACAAAATTAGTTGTCACATTCAGATCTCATGCTCACTTTTTTTTTTTTTTTTTTCATTCTCACTTGTGCGTTCCACTCAAGCTCCATCCGTGCCTCCTCATCTCTTCAACCCACACCTCCCCACTCCTCAAGCTCACCCTCCCTCCCCACCTGCTCGCTTGTCCTCACCAAATCAAGCGTTTCTGCTGCTCGTCCCTCTTGCCCCTCCCCCCATTCACCCCATGTCTCCACCAGTTAGTCGCAGCCACCAACCGAGCCGACATCCTCGACCCCGCTCTCATGTGCTCGGGGCTGCTTGTGCCTTGATGCCACTCTCCTCCCTCTCGGCCCACCACCCCCTTCACCCCCATTCTCCGTGGCTCCGCCGCCCTACCCTTCCTGCGACCCCGCCGCCCTACCTACGGCCCGGCCACCCTATCAGCGGCCCCGCCACCCTACCTGCGGCCCCGCCGCCTCACTCTCGGCCCCGCCGCCTCACTCAGCGGCCCCACCACTCTACCTGCAGCCCCGCCGCCTCACTCTCGGCCCCGCCGCCTCACTCAGCGGCCCCGCCACCCTACCTGCAGCCCCGCCGCCTCGCTCTCGGCCCCGTCACCTGCTGCAGCGCCGCTCGCCACCCGAGCCGCCCGAGCCGTCTCACTCGGCCGAGCAGCCGACCGCCGCGCCGCCCTACAGCAGCACAACCGAGCCGCCCGACAGCAGAGCAGCCGAGCCGCCCAGCAGCCAAGGCGCCCATCATCCGAGCCGCCCTGTAGCCGAGCCGCCCAGCAGCCGAGCCGCCCAGCAGCCAAGCCGCCCAGCAGCAGAGCAGCTGAGCCGCCGAGCCGCCCTACTTCCGGGCCGCCCGACCTGCCCAGTCTGGTGAGCACAACCCCTTTGTCACTGCACGGCCCTCACCCTCCTGTTTGCACTGCTAGTCGTCCGCAGTCATGGCTACCCCTAGTGTCCTCGCCTTTGACGCTGAGGGTAGGGCCATTGACTTTGAGGTCTGGGTAGATGACCTGCAGCTGTTCTTACAATGCGATAGGGTAGACGGCCTCTCTCTCTTTGACCTCACCTCTGGCGCTTCCCCTGCCCCTGCTGCTGAAGCTGACGCCACTGTTCGCTCCCAGTGGGCCACGCGCGACGCTGCAGCACGTCTTGCTGTGCGTCGCCACCTCCCTACCTCCGAGTTTGCGCACTTTAGTCAGTACAAGAGTGCTCAGACCTTGTACGACGCTGTAGTTGCGCGCTACTCCTCCCCTGCCACTGCTGCGCTGAGCCGTCTCATGCTACCGTACCTCTTTCCTGACCTTGCTGCCTTTCCCACAGTAGCTGACCTCATTACGCACCTCCGCACTAGTGACACTCGCTACCGCGCTGCACTTCCTGCTGACTTCTGCGCCAAGAACCCCCCCCCCATGTACATCACTCTCTACTACATAGTCACTCGCCTCCCTGACTCAGTTTGTATAGTCCGGAATTGTTTCCTCCCAGTCTGTCCCACCACTCTCACTGTCGACCTCCTTGAGAAGGCCCTCCTAGCGATAGAGAAGAGCATAGTCGCTGTAGGAGCCTCTCAAGGTGACCCGCGCACCCCCATCTTTGAGGGGTGTTCCCCCTCCCCCCTTCTGCCCTCTGTTGCCTCTACTGCTGCGGCCGACCTCCTTGGTCTTGAGTCGGTCGGTGCGGCGTCTGCCCCTAGCGGGAGACGCCGCCCTGGCAAGGGCAAGGGGGGAAAGGGCACTGGAGGAGCGAGCGGGGGCGGTGGAGGTGGAGGTGGCGGTGGTGGGGGGAGTGGGGGTGGCGGTGGGAGTGGAGGTGGGAGTGGAGGGGTCGATGGCGGCAGTGGAGGCGGAGGAGGCGGCGGCGGTGGCGGTGGGGGCGGAGGTGGCAGAGGTGGCGGCGGTGGAGGCGGCGGCGGAGGCGGCGGTAGTAGCGGAGGCGGCGGAGGCGGCGGGGGTGGCGGTGGAGCTGGTCGCGGGTCTTCGCAGAGGAGTGGCTCCGGTGGTGGCTCGCGCCTGCAGCAGCAGCGCGGTCGTGAGACCGTGTCCCCTCGCAGCTCCGTAAGTGGTACACTGCACGCCAGCGGGGTGGGGGTTTTGGTCCGTGCTCCTACGTCCTGCGCACCGGCGACCGTGCGGGTGAGCAGTGTGGGGAAGCGCACCCCACCCAGCGCTGCTTTGGCCGCCTGATGGACGCGTGGCGTCACCAGTTCCCGGAGGCCTCAGAGATCCCTCGCTGGGGCGAGCTGTCTAGGGCGGGTGTTGCCATCTATGATCTTGACTTTGATGCTATTCTCTCTGCCATGTATGCTGTGTCTATTAGTGATGAGGGTGACTGTTACCGGTGTTTCCCGCCCGATACGGGCATTGAGACTGCTGCTCTAGGTACTGGTGAGGCTGCTGCCCTAGGTGCTTGCGACGCTGCTGCTCTAGGTGCTAGTGTGTCTGCGTCCTTAGGTACTGGTGAGTCTGCGCTCTCAGGTACTACGTCGGATTCAGCCTCCCTCATCTTCACCCTTGACTCTGGGGCGTCTCGCTCCTTTTGGGACCGCACCACACACACGCCGCTTAGTCGGCCGGTTGCGGTGTCTCTGGCAGACCCCTCTTGGGGTCCTGTCCTGTCTCGCTTCTCCACAGTCCTCCCATGTCCGGCGGCTCCCTCTGGCACCCTGTCTGGTCTCTACCTCGCCTCGTTCTCTATAAACCTGGTGAGTGGTGCTGACCTACAAGATGCGGGTGTACACCAGTTCACTCCTGCGCGTCAGCGAGTGATGCAATGCACAGAGGCTAGCACAGGCCGACACCTGGCTACGCTTACCCGCCAGCCGGGGTCAAGCTTGTACACACTGACCACTGCGTCTCCTCCCGCTGCTGAGTCTGGTAGGGTCAATGTGTCGGGTCAGGTGTTTGCTGCAGCGTCCAGGTCTGGTCCTGAGTCTGCCCCCTGTTCGTGTCGTCTCCTATCTCACGAGACTCTCCTCTGTCACCACCGCCTTGGTCACCCCCCTCTGCTTCGGCTCAGAGGCATGGCCTCCCGTCTTTTTGTGTCTAGTCTCCCCCGGTCCCTCCCTCCCCTTCCTCAGGGCCCTGGCCCTACCTGTGTCCCCTGTGTCGAGGGGCGCCAGCGTGCTGCCCCTCACTCCTCCCACTTTCCTCCGACAGAGGCCCCGTTGCAGACGCTTCACATGGACGTGTGGGGCCCAGCCCGCGTCCGTGGGCAGGGTCACAGCGCTACTTCCTGCTCGTTGTTGACGACTACTCGCGTTACACCGCAGTCTTCCCCTTGCGCAGCAAGGGTGATGTCACTGAGGTGCTAATCGACTGGATCCGTGCAGCTCGTCTCCAGCTCAGGCAGTTGTTTGGCTCGGACTTTCCTGTTGTGCGTCTGCACTCGGACAGAGGCGGAGAGTTTTCCTCTGGCCTTCTGCGAG